TTTTAGTTGAGCAGCCTATGATTTTCTGCATTTCTTTATATATGTTTTCCCCTCTCCAATCAACTTTTTAATCAAGATATGCTGTTCTTCTGAACAATGTCTGGAACGACCCATTTTTCTCAGAATTTCAGAGAGAAATGCACTGTAACCAGCATGTACAACATTTGCTGCCTTCCTTCCTTAAATAAGGGCAATAATTGCCACCTGTTTTTCAAAGAATGAATGACCTCACTAATAGAACTCCACACTGCTATTATTTTGAACATGCTCCTTTCAATTAGTAATTCAATTACACAGAATCAGCAGCATTCATGTCATGACTGTTGGGTCTGTTGGATTTCTATTACTCTACTACACCTGCTAGTAAATTATTTGCCATGTAGAAATATCATTTCTACCAAAAACAGTGATTGATCAGGTTAGTGATGTCTGACTGCTATTATTTTGAACACAACTGTAAGTGTACATTTTTTAAAAGGCAGCAGATACAGTTTTTGTAGCTGCTGACGTTTATATTTTTTTATTTTCACTGTAACTCGCTTTCCGCTTTAAGGTTTGTGTCCACCTCCCAGCAAAATTCAATATATTTAGTACAAGAAAAAGATTTTAAGGTTAAAAACTGTTATTGATTAAATTCAGGTTATTTATTATAAAATGATTGATTACACAGTATAAAACTGACAGCATAAAAACATTACATTATACTTTGAACAAAGCGCAGAGCAGGAGCAAAGCCTTGGATACTTTGACCACTTCGGGTTCTTCTTGGTGGCCCATTTGTTGGCTACATATAGCTTAATTGACATGAAGTTTTAACCAAGAAACTGGATATATATATGCATGCAAGTGGTAATCCAAACGTTTATAGGCTCAAATAGAAAGAAAAAACGTAGGACCGTGAACCATTTCATTTTAATTTTTTTCCCTTCAGTGTACTTCTTTGTTCAATGTTGAAGCATTTGATTCCATCAATATTAAAACTCTCATCCTGACCCTCAAACCACTCCACAAACGTATTTGCGACCTTATTATTAAAACACTTTACGTACAAGGGATCTTTCAATTATGGGAAGAAGCAGTCAACGAGGACAAGGACTAATTCAAACCCTGCTTCACTGATAACAGTCAAAGTAACAAAGAACTACCGGGACATTGTCCTGGTACAAGAGGACTTTTTTTATACAACTTTCCATGCTTCTCCTTGACCACAATTCACAAATGTTAGACACTTTAAATTTTGAATTAAAAAAAACAACATATTATAACATACTAACATCACCTAAGGCCATATGCACATGCGCACTGGGTACCTAGGTGTACTTCCTTGTACGGCAGTATGCGCCAGGGATAAATGCCTTGAATGCAGACTTCTTGTATTCCAAGCATTCATCCCTTGGTGCATACTGGCCTAAACCAGTGGTCTCCAAACTGTGGCCTATGGGTCAGATACAGCTTCTTGCTTGTCTTTATCGGGCCCTTGGGGCACTATTTCTCCCACTGATATGACACTATTCCTTCCACTGACACCAATGATGGGGCACCCTATCTTCCACTTACAACATTGATGGGGGATGATTCCTTTCACTGACACCAACAATGAAACACTATTCATCCTACTGACACCAAAGATGTGGCACTATTCTTCCCAGGAATACCAACATTGAGATGCTATTGCTCCCACTGATACCAACAGTGATGTACTGTTTGTCCCACTGATACCATTGATGGGGCACTATTCCTCCCACTGACACCAATGATGGTGCACTATTCCACCTCCCACTGACTACCAAACCTCAGGCATTGTTTGATCTCGCTGACACTGGAATGTGTCTCTCTACTCAGATTGACCACAGTTCGACCCCCATAAAGTTTGAAGGACAGTAAACTGGTTCTTTCTTTAGAAGGTTTGGAGACCCCCCTGGCCTAAACATTCATACCACTAGGTGCACTGTCCAGGTTCATCTATTCACAGCAGTCGTAAGCCTCTCAGAGTTCAACAGACCGCCGACATGACAGAAGGGCTTAGACGGGACACCTGTGCCCACAGTGAAATGTCAGAGCTTCATGAATCGAGGCTTAACACTGTGTGCATTGGTCCCTTATAAAACCACACCCCAAATGAGAGTCATTGATTGCAAACAAGATTTGTTAATTTGCACACACAAAAAAATATTTTTCCTAGCAAATTCATTCAAGACCATGTTGCAAAAATGAATATACCCCAATGAAAGTCTTAGGAGCAAAACTAAATTTTAGACAACAAAATCCTAATTAACAAGAATTCAGCTCCAGGTGAGTCTAATTATTCATTAAACAGGTGTCCAGCAGACAGGTGATTATAAAAGGGCGTTACTTAACAAAGAAAACCCCTCCCATTTCATGCTGTCAACAATGGCACTACATGGAAGAGAAATGTCACAAGACCTGAAAAAGAAAATAATTTCTTTATACAAGAAAGGTGAAGTCTACAAGAATATCAGCAAATCTTTACTTATCAGTCAGAATACTGTAGCAAAAGTGAAACAAAAATTTAACAAAATGGAAATGCAACCATCTCACAGAGCCATCCAGGCCATCTATTGAAGTTAAAGCCTTGTCAGGAGCGTCTTCTGATGAGAGGGGTTGAAGAAAATTGCCATGCATGTTCACTGCAGTTAGCTAAAAAAGTAGAGAGCCAAACTGGGGTGATTGTTTCCTGTGACACAATACGGCGTACACTGTAGAGGAATGGCATGCATGGGTGTTGTCCACGAAGGAAGCCTCCCCTAAAGTCCATGCACAAAAAAGCCTGCCTAGAATTTTCCAGGGCCCATGCTGAAAAAGAACAAGACTAATGGGACGCTGTACTGAGGAGTTATGAAACCAAGATAAATGTTTGTGGAACTGATGGCTTCAAAACTGTATGGCGTCGCAAAGGTGAGGAGTACAAAGAAAAATGCATTGTGCCTACTGTGAGACATGGTGGTGGCAGTGTCCTTCTGTGGGGCTGCATGAGTGCTACTAGTGTCGGGGAGCTGCATTTCATTGATGGTGTCATGAATTCACAGATGTACTGATTGAGACATTGATTAAAATCTTATTTTTCAAAAGTGGTGTACTCATTTATGCTGAGCACTGTGTATGTATGTATATATATATCATACGCTCACATACTGTAACAGTAGCATGTACTTTTTTATTCAGGTGCTAATAGTAATAAAGGTACATACAAACTTTACAACAAAAGGAGATATTTTGCTAATGTAAATCTTTGTAAGAAACTATATCTAAAATAAAGCTGATAAGCGCTGTGAGAATAATATATTCTATCTTTAGTGGTGATAGGCTTAACACCCCCCGTTCGGTTCGTGGACGAACATTTGAACCTACCGAAAGTTCGACCCTCAAACTTTGAACAGGGACAATTCACTAAGCGGTATCTTACTGCTTCTGAGTATGTGGTAAGATAACGGTCAGTTACTAAAATATGGCATGAGTTATATTATGACGTTATGCGGTATTTTAGTAGTGAAAATATTCTTTAATGTTTCAGCTGTCAGTGGGGTTCACCGCTGCCAGCTGAATGTAAGAAGAATTGTCTGGATTGCCAGACAATTAAACAATTTTTAAAACAATAGCATGCAGCCCAGCAGGTCAGGAAAGGGGGCAGGCGAGTGACCACCCCCCCCTCCTGAACCATACCAGGCCACATGCCCTCAACATAGGGGGCTTCCACCTCAAAGCACCTTGTCCCCATGTTGATGGCCTATACAAGGGCCTTTTCCCCCACAACCGTGGCCGGTGGTTGTGGGGGTTTGCGGGTAGGGGGCTTATCGGAATCTGGAAGCTCCCTTTGAAGCGGTAATAAACTGTGTCCATTAAAAAAAAAAAATAATCCCCTGCAAGGTAAAGACATAATGTGCTAGTATGTATCGCTAGCACATTATGAAAAACTTACCTTAAGACGAAGCCCTGTACCGGCACACTGTAACCACAGGAGAGGCATCCATCTGCACCCGGTCTTCCTTCCAGGTTCGCAAGCTCTCCATATGACTGGCTTGGCCGTGATGACGTCACTCCAGTGCATGCACACAGGAGTCTCGAGACATGATACAGTGCTCTGAAGGAACGGCACAGGAATGCCATTCCTTCAGAGCTCATGCGCCGGCTGCAAACAAAACTTAAATATCTCCTAAACAGCGCACATTTAGGAGATATTCATTTTACCTACAGGTATGCTTTATTATACGCTTACCTGTAGGTAAAAATATAGAAACTGGGTTTACTATCACTTTAACAAGGGATCCCCCAGATCCCGCCCCTTCCCCCCCATATGAATGAATATGGGGTACCCCTACCCATTCACAAAAAAAAAAGTGTAGTGTAAAAATGACAGGAGACATCTTTGCAAAGTCCTTTATTAAAAACAAAAATTTAAAAAAATGCCCCAAAAGTAGATCCAACGTCAATCATGATGCCTGCCGCCACCGCCGACCCGAAAAAAAAAAAGAAAAAAAAGGCTTTGCTCTTGACGCTGGCACCTGCCGTCTGACAGCTGCACCAGGATGACAGTTCTTAAATACTGTGATGACTTCACAAGGTGGCAGAGTCACACCTGCCCCCTTGTAACGTCATCATGTGCTCTGATTGGCCAAAGCATCAAAATGCAATGTTAACTCGAACATGATGCCCAACCCTAATCTTTAGAACATTAAAATGTCTATATTGTGTCATATGTATACTCCTTAATATATGTAAATATTATTTACTGGCAGTGACAATGTCAGGACAATATGATGGCCAAAACTCTCTTACACTCCACCATTCCTGTTTACGTCCCAGTGAATATTCTAGTCTGGCCTATTTACCAAGGTCATGTAAATGTTATATGACTTGACGGTCCAATCTTGCAAAATATGATGCTTCTCCAGTGCTTCTCATTGCATTGAATTTTCCATCTTATAAGACACATCTTGTGGAGATGGATGGTGAGGCTCTGGTACAGGAACACCACGGAAATGCTAAAATTCCATCATAATTGGCTCATCTTGTGAAGGTGGATGGAGAGACTCTTGTGCTGGAAAACAAAGATGGTGTTGATAAGCCTTTGTAATACGAACACCTTGTGAATATATTGCATACAATTATAAAAGGTAGAGGTTAATATTAGCTAATATACAGCATATGGACTGCTAATACGATAATAAAATGTGTATGTCATGACCAGTAGCAGACTGCTGGCCAAGGGTAGTGGACCTAATTACTCATAGTGCTGGGGCTGAGAACCAAATGGATAGGATGGCAGCCAGTAACCAATAGCACTAACAGAAGAATAGCTGGAGAGGAAAGTCAATCAAACTGACATCAAACCAGAATATCTGGAAGGTAGACTCAGATACAAGAGAATTGAGAGCAAATTGTGGCCACATATCTAAAAGACATCTTCTCAGTCTTGGTGAGCTCCTCCTCATATAGCTTCCCTCTATCAACCATCTAAGGTACTTAGTTACCCACAGGACTTACTACTTGGCAAACCCCATTGCTGCAAGCATGTGTTCATAAAGTCTAGGGCTGGAGAAGTGACACAACCAAGAAGGGAAGGACCAAAAAGGTCAAACAAGAATAAACAAGAATAAAAAGATAGAGTACAAACAAACTGAAGACTCACTAAATCTACAGCAGTGGGCAGACAGAAATGAAGAGCAATGCAACAATGATGAGGTATGTGAGTGGTTGATTGCTAAATTGCAGTGCAATACAAATAATATAACATAAATAAGTGAAGACTACCATAAATAGCGCTCACTAATGAGATGCAATTCAATCCCCAAAATTGTGTGAAATATAAAAAATAAAAATTTGTAAATAAATATAAATAATACATAAACAATAATAAATAAATAAATATACAAAATAAATAAATAATAAACTACACTTCCCCCAAACAGTGCAACAGTAAAAAAGTATCAGATCATAATATAAAGTCCAAATCTTTCTTTCAAAAAAGTATCCACCAAAACCGTGATCTTCAATGTGCTCAACACACCATCAAAGTGCAAACTCACCAGATGCTGGTGATTAATCAGCCTTAAATCAGATACCAATAGATGTGGAGATTCATTAAACCAGAGTGGCTCAGATGTAATAATGGTCAGTCATCAGATGGTTAATCCAGCTCAAACTCCATCCAGGTAAGTATTATTCAAATTCCATATGTGGGTAAATAAAGAACACTCGCCATTGCATAATTGCATTGCCAACAAATACCCCCCTGAGACTAAAACTCACATTGTATAAAAGTACAAAAAGCATTCAATAGGTGTAGCAGCAGTGAAACAGCTAGCTATTTCAATGTGCGTCTCACCACCCGCTCTGTAGATTACAAATCTCATAATAGCGTTCACATGGTCCAGCCACATGGTCGCGGCGTGTGTGGTGACGTCACTGCTGATCACGCTCTTACGCGTTTCATCACACGACTTCCTCTGAGGGTGTGATCAACATACAGACATTCAGTCTTTTATAAGACCGCTCCAAATGCCATAGGTCAAATTAGTCTTCTACTGCCATCTTGTGATGGAATATATGGTGGCATACACTCAATTAGTCTTATCTAAATGGACAAATACTAGAAGAGAAGAGCAATAAGCTCAATAATTCCATCATGTGGACAAACATAAAAATGGTTGTCCAATATCCCAATTTATATCACAAAGAGGGAAACAATCATAAACTCATCACGATATATATAATAATAGAACTAAAATAAACAAAAATCATATACATATAAAAATAAATTCAATATAAATAAAAAAAACTAATAATCACTGATAAAACAATTTAAATCTAATTCTACATTTAAACCATTGGGAGTCAGAGCATTAGTGAGATAAATCCACCTCGTTTCACACTTTGACAGTTCTCTAACTCTATTGGACCCACGGCACATCTGGGGGATAGTGTCAATTCCCCAAAATGTGATAAGGAAGGATCTCGATTATGATGTTTTCTAAAGTGCATATATACACTATGATATTTATAACCTTTCAATATATTATTCAGATGTTCCTGGATCCTAATCCTTAAATGTCTTTTAGTACGGCCTATATAAATCAGGCCACAAGGGCATTCAAGAGCATAAACTACATGAGTAAGCTCCAAGGATCAGGGCCCTCCTTTCCCTCTTGTATTGAACTGTATTGTTGCTGTATTGTCTCCCGTTATATTGTAAAGTGCTGAGCAAACTGTTGGCGCCATAAATCCTGTATTATACTGTAATAATAATTATAAGTAGTTTCACGTGTGATAAAGGTAGATATATCAAATTCCTTTCCATTAGACCTAGATAAAAATTTAGTGAGTTCCTTATACTTATTCTTTGCTGTCCTGCACGCTGCACATTTTCTACACAAAAAAAAACTTTTTTTTCCCCAATACATTTCTAGTTTTTTGGGAGGATCCAAAATCTTTTTTACCACTTTATCCCCAAATGTAGGGGCTTTTCTATAAATAAATGTGGGTTTATCAGGTACAGTGGCGTCCCGAGGCAGGTGCGGGGCGTGTTGTCTGCACCGGGTGACACCGACCACACGTCAGGACGTACGGGGGACGCAATCGGTGGGAAATTTAAAAATGTTAAAAAGTGATAATCACTAAATACACTAAAATCTGATAGTATTACATTACTGTATCAAACCATTTCACATACATTTTGTCCCTACTGCTTTGTCCTGCGCCCTGCCTGCATTTTGACTGTTCTTTCTGCCTGGAAACTGAGAAACGTCCATGGCGTCCAAAAAGCGTCCCGTCAAAAGCGGTTTTAGACCGGCTAGAGAACAGCGATAGTAAATCAGAACCACTTGCAGAATTGAGTGATAATGATTCGTGGGGGAAATTCGTCATCAGACGCTGAAAATGATTTTGCGACTTTGCTCAGTGATGTGCAAACTTGGCGCTCTATTTCAAAATTCAGTGTTTTTGGTTCGATTATATTATTGAATTAAATTTATTATTAGTACATTATTATTTTTTTATGATTATTTATTAAATTATAATTTATGATTTCAAATTTTATCATACCCGGGATGTTTACTAGACTCTTATTCGGACAGATTTCAGTGAGTTATTCCTAAAAATTACAGGCCTACAATAAAAAAACAACATATTTCCATGCAAAAAAATGTACCGCTTTGAGCACAGAAATACTGACATAATCAGACAGCTAGGGAGGCTACGAAAAACAATCAGATCAGCTTCAGAACCTGCCCAGATCAGAAACAGATCATCAATGAACCTCTTGTATAGCAGAATCTGTTTATGACCATAGTTTAAAGACATAATGGTCTTCCCATTCCGCCATAAATAGATTGGCTCTACAAGGCGCAAAACGTGCCCCCATAGCTACTCCTCTCTTTTAAGAGAAGACTTCTCTGTGGTACCAAAAGTAATTATGGGAAAGACAAAACTCCAAAGAGCTATTCAAAAATCTTGTTTGAGTGTATGGGATGTCTAATCTTCTACTTAAAGCCAAATTGAGGGCTAATAATGCATCTTCATGTTGGATGATAGTGTATAAGGAGGAGACATCAGCTGTCACCAAAAACACTTCAGGGTAATCAATGAACTGAATCTCCTCTAAATAATCTAATAAATGTTTAGTATCCCGCAGATAAGCTTTAGTAGAATGAACACTAGTTTGCAAAAACACAAACAAAGACAAATAATACACCAACAGGACAGTACAAGTAAACAGACTGAAATGTAATGTCAGAGGAGCAGGACATCTCAAACAGGGCTCCATTCATAACAACCAGACAGCACTTGAACCTGTTATTACTCAGCAACTGGAACTCTGCTTTGTTCTTTTTAACTGAAAATCAGGTATAACACTGTATTTGATATTCCTAAACAGTAGAAACTGGGTGACAGTAAAATCCTGGCTACTATCTTATAACTACTATTGAGCACATGAAGAAAATAAAGGGGCTAATGTTAAATTGGTAAGCAGTCCAAAGAACATCTCTTCAACTTTCAGAGGGAATGTTTATTTTATTTTGCCCAATGGGTAAAGTGATATTAAAGTCTCTTTTTTTTTTTTAAATAACAAACATGTCATACTTACCTACTCTATGCAATGGTTCTGCACAGAGTAGCACCGATCTTCCTCTTCTGGAGTCCCATGCCAACGTTCATGGCCCCTCTCCCTTGCCAAGTGCCCCCATAGCAAGCTGCTCGCTATGGGGGCACTTGTGCATGCTCATTCCCGAGCCCCGCTCTGTGTGGCTCAGCCCTGCCTTGCTCTCTTCTCACTAGCTGTGATTGGCAACAGCAGGACCCAATGGCTCTTGCTGCTGTGTCTCAACCAATAAGGAGAAAAAGACCGAGGAGAGCCACTGCTCCCGTGCACAGTGCTGGATAAGGATGGCGCTCGTGTAAGTATTAGGGGGGCTGTGGGGGAGCAGTGCACAGAAGTTTTTTTCCTTCATGCATAGAATGCACAAAGGTCATAAAATCTTCAGCCTTTACAACCACTTTAAGCTAAAAAAAAAAAAGGCTTTTTAATACTACAAAATGGGGCACAACCTGACTTGCTTATCTCTATAGAAGATATGCTCCATGCTTTACTTACTACACAATATTTGTAAAACTTGAAAAACTCCACCCTGTTAAAGGTAAATAGAAAGGTTTTATATGGAAGAAAAATGTGACTGTCATAGCCTTCCAATAACTTCTACTCCTACCAGACACCTTCCTGTCCTCAGACACATTGCAATTTGTAAGACAATCTTGTTAAAGAGCCATAATACTGTGCATTGATGAGGGACAATAAAATCTTACATGTTACTTATCAAAGCAGCAGAGGGAACCTGTAGTTTATGAAGATGTACCAGGATCTACTGACATAGCATGGGTGAGCCATGAGACCACAGGGGTGGTTGCCCTAAGTGCAAAATTGTCCATACATACACCTAGAAGAAGGAAGTTCTCAGATGTGCACATCATAGCAGGTGACTGATACAAATCAATGCACATCAGCAGCACCTTTTAGCTCTTCCCTTACCATGCTACCTCCTATAATAGTTTGTGTATCGCTTTTCACCACCAGCATGAAAGTTGCACATTACTCAACACAAGTTCCATTGAACAGCCTACTAGGACTTGTAGTCTCTCTGCCCTTCCTCTTCAGGAATGTCTGCTATAAGGACTAAATGAAGTCTGGTGTGATTGCTCTACAAATCCTGTAAGCCTGTGCTCTGCAAGGGTGTTGGCACACAGAGCACCATCATCGGTACTATAGGTTTGAAACAAACTTTGCTGTAATGTTCCATAACTTGCATAAAAATCATAATTGAAAAATTCATAATTTCACTGCGCTGCAACGGGCACCTAGATAGCTTTGCTCCACATTCCCTATCCACCTTGTCTCCATGATGTGTGTGACTTTGAAATTGTTGTGCTGTGTGATGGACTGATGGAAGGGACTCAGGGAGTGCTAATGGTCCACAAATTAGGGGGGAGTAATACTTGCCTTTCCCTGGGCGCTGTCAAACCAACACTACACCACTGCCAGATTCCCTGGCTCAATTCATCTTTACTCTACAGAGAATGCCTAACAACACAAAGATATGAATGCAATGAGGTTTAGATGTCATCAAACTCCATAGGCCATTATTCTCAGGCATCCACATGCTAGGCTTTTCAAAACTAGACAAACTGGATAGTATCTGCCTAATATGCTGCTGTAGAGGGTCAAATACACCAGTAAGGCCTTGTCAGATCTGAATCTTGTCTTGTGTATGAAGTTAAATGGTGATCTATGGACATCTTACCATCGTTTTTACTCACCAGGTTGTTCTCTGTGCTCAACCACATTAGAGTGTGGAATATTAGTCTGAACATCCATCTCCTCATCTTCATCATTTGGAAGTGGACTGTAATGCTGCTGTGATATTGGAATATTAGGATAACCCTCCATATTATTCATATCTTGTTGAAGCAGATGGTGTGACTCTGGTGCTAGAGCACCAGGATAATGTTGGCAACCCATCATATTACCGGTATATACTTCTTGCGTGGATATGGCTGTTGAGACTGATATGCTGGAACATCAGGATGATTTTGCATTATGTTACTCACATTCTGTGGAGGTGGATGGTGAGGATTTGATGCTTGAAAATCATTTTGATGTTGGTGATCCATTATAATATACACAACTTGCTGAGGTGGATGTTGAGATTCAGGTGCTTGATGATATGGGTGATCCATTTTATTAGATACATTCAGTGGAGTTGGATGGTGAGGCTCTGGTGCTGCAGCATCAGGATGATGTCGGTGAGCCATTATATTAGACAGATCTTGTTGAGTTGGAAGGTGAGGCTCTGTTGCTGGCGCATCCGGATAATGTTGGTGATCCATTATATTAGACACATCTTGTGGCGTTAGATGGCGAGGCTCTGGTGCTGGAGCATCAGCTTGATGTTGGTGATCCATTATATTAGACACATCCTGTGGAGTTGAATGGTGAGGCTCTGGTGCTGGAGAATCAGCTTGATGTTGGTGATCCATTATATTAGACACATATTGTGGAGATGGATGGTGGGACACTAGAGCCGGAACACTGGAATGAGGTTGTGGGTGCTGAATACATGGTTTCTGCTGCTCTGGGGCTGTAACAACAAAGTTACACAAGATGCCAATTACAATCACCTGAAGTACAGTACAGTAGCTGCTAAAAACATATACATGAAATTTTAACATTACTGTTCTTATACAGAACATGAGATTGTCATCTGCAAAAGAACCAGTGCAGGGTAAAGCAGAAGTGTGAATAAAATACTTCCCTGCTCACACTGCTTATACTGGTTGGCGCTTATATAAGGCTGAGGACTCTCTGCCCCCACCGGACAGCAGTGGTTCCTACTAATTGGCCACTGGCAGGTATTTCTCTTCGGTTCTCCTGGCAAGTATTTCTCTTCGCGGCTGATAAAGGTCCCATCTGCACTGGGTGTTTCAGGTGTATTGTCCAGCCTTACTGCCAACAGCCATGAGAGGCTGACAGCTGCTGCGGCTGGACAGGGCTGGATAGTGCACCTAACAGTATGAACGTTTAGGGGAACATGCACCCAGGGATGAATGGCCAGAATGCAGCCTTTTGGCGTTCTGGGCAATGGTCCCTGGGCACATACTGCCATAAAGGTCTAATAGGTGTGCTGTCCAGCAGCAGCAGCTGTCATCTTCTCATAGAGTTTGACAGGCTGCTGGCACTGGGGCAGGATCGTGCGCCTGGGTACTGTTTGCCTATGTCTATTGCACGGGAGTGTTCCTCAGCAGATAGTGTAAGAAACAAGATTGATGAGTCATACCCAACTTTCTGAAATGGGAATAAGGGACACCTATTAGCAAAAGCATAGGACACACCCCCTGCCATGCCCCCTTAAAGGAGAACTATACAAAAAAAATTATTGGTTAAACCCACAAGTGCTTTTTTTTTTTACCACTACTATTCCTTCATATTGGCTTTTAAAATGTACAAATGCAGCAATTTAGAAATTGGATGAAAGGTTTAGGACTATAAAAATACTTTTTAATAGGGCAGGGCTAACAGCATCTTATCTGGTCCACACAAGTGTCTGATGACCGGTTTGATTTTAAAGCACCATATATATGGAACATACAGTCAGGTCCATAAATATTGGGAAATCGACACAATTCTAACATTTTTGGCTCTATACACCACCACAATGGATTTGAATCGAAAAAAATGTTAGAATTGTGTCGATTTCCAAATATTTATGGACCTGACTGTATGTAAGTGTGATTTTAATGAATTTTATGCAATAAAAAGCAGTATAATGCTATGGAAGTCTCCCTTAGATTATTTTACTGAGGAGAAGGAGTTCCAAGGTCGTTTTGAAGTGTTTTCCCACAAGAGGATCCCGGGCTCAAAGGCAGTGGTTGCCAAAAATCATAAGAAGATTACATCACCTCTGGGGCAGGTTTAAGCACCCAAAAGCGCCTTCTGACCTACCTTCATACAGGTGGTCAATATATTGCAGTGAGTGGGGCTCTGGAGGGGAGCACACGAGTGAAACACCTATCACTGATGGTTTGCTGACAAGCCCACCCACTGTCACCAGTGTCACTTTGAATTTAGAATTTTTGAATTTCTGGATGAGCAAGGAGCTTCGCAGCACCTAGACTTTATTCACTTGTATTGTTTGGTTTGCTATCTGGCTTGCTGACAATATCACCTATCTTGAACTTATGAAGTTATTTTGAGGAGCAAGGTGTTCCGTAGCAATTGGACTTTATTCACATGCATTGTTTGGTTTAGTTTGTTTTTTGGTTTAAAAATTGTCACAATAAGGTTAATAGCACATAAGTTCACCATAGTGCACTAGTTTACATCTATGTTGGGGGAAGGTACAGCCCCAATTAGATGCATGCACTCATAGGTTTAGGCATCATAGCACTATCATGTATTAGGTTGCATTTAGTTGGGGGGGTGCTTATGGCTTTGTATATTGTATGCACTATCAGTATAATTTAGAGGCACACTCTTAGTAAAGAGCACCACAGCACATATTCACATCAGTACACATGTATGGAAAGAGGAACATATTATAAGGCTTTTGTACAGTATAGGGAGGTGCATTGTAGCACTCCACACAAGGAGCACTTTCTACACTCTATAGAAACTGCACGGCAGCACAGCAGTTTGACTCTCCCACTTTGTAATAGGTAAATAGTGCATTTTATATACAACTATATAGGCCAGACCAAAATGAGGGACAAATGATGGGGAAGGAGGGACAGAAGGACTTTGTTACAAATGAGGGACAGTCCCTCTAAATCATGGACAGTTAGGAGATATGGATGAGTTATGAAAATGTATGTCCCCCCTGACAAATCACTAAGAGGTTTACTTCCAGTGGTGAATGCTGGAGAATGATATGGGATGACCTTCCAGAAGGGTCTTTGTCCTTGGGCTCCTGTCAGGAGAAGAGATCCTTGCCTCCTGGGCTGTTGCCAAGAGAGGAGATAGTGTTGAAGGCCTTTGCCCCACAAGTCTGCTTCCTGGGGAGGGTCCATACTAAAAGAGAGGCATGAGCCTGGTGCCTAGAAAATTCAAGGTGCTTTGTTAGAGGGTACATGGGTGTGAAGCAGGAACATGGCTGCCTGTATGGAGCATTTTGAAAAAAGACTTCACCTTTGAATAGTGTCCTGGAGAGCAGAATATAGGCTGCTGCTGGTGGACATTGTAGGAACTTCCAGCTGTTCATCCAGGAGATACTTGTGCATCCTGGTTTCCTACTAATACAGGTTGCAAAGCCCCGCTTAGGGGTCCATAGCCTGCATTGACTGCAGCTACTAGACAGCTCTGGCACCATTATTTGCCTATTTTGGGGTATCCTGTACCCTAACCCTTTCTCCTGAGCCTATTGCACTTTAATAAAAATTCTGAAACAGTCTGAAGTGACTGAGGCCCAATTCCCTGTCAAAGATGCCAGGGTGTCAAAGCTTTAACCCTGAGAGTTGAAATACTAGCCCACATACCTGGGAGTCCTCCTCATCTTCCCAGGGGTAAGGAGGTGCAACATTAATTATCAGCTCCATTTGAATTTTGGGTTCTTTAGCTTAAGGAAATCCTAAGTTCATCTTGATTATATCAAGAGTAGTTGGTCCCTTTGTTTTCTGCATTACTTTAACCTCTTCAGTAAAGAACAGATATACCTTCTCACTACTCTCTACTCTATCATTATATTAGGGAATCTTAACATTAGGGATAAGCAAATCTACATGTTTGAAATTAAAGAGACCGTAGGAACTTTGCAACACAACCATATGTCCATATGCCTACTTCAGACCTAGTGGATCACTAAAGGATCAGTCCACCAAAAACCAATCATTGAGATCTTGGTAGACGTTCAGTCTCCTGTCTCTTTCTTCTATCACTTGACCTTGCCAGCTTCCTAGGCTTCATCTGTAAATTAAATCTAAAATCCAGGCAAATATGTAAGATCATTTATGAAATACATACAGTATATGGGAGCCAGTTTATCCACCAAAGGGTTTATATTTCCTTCCACCCAGGTGTGAGATTTACATAGCTGCAGATAAAATATATCTAAACCCCGAAAACAAAATACTGTAGAATTTTATTGCTGCTTATCAGTTCTTAAATGTGGTGACAGCATTCGTTTTCACTTTTCAGCAAGTACACAAAATACCTGATGATCTTTTCAGAAATACAATGTTCTTGTCAATATATGTGAGCTTCAAAGAAAACACAATACACTTTACCTTTATTTTATAAACTACTAATCTCACCGATTCCACTATGTAATAGAGATGAATAAAGACAGAGATAAACAAAGTCTAGGCTGGGTGACAACCATGCCCCCCCCAACATCCATCCATAGATGCAGTGGAGAAAAAAGTGTACACAGTAAAAAAGATAAAGGAAAATAAGAAAACGAGTGCAACCACATCTGAGGACTGGTAGTCTGCAATACACTCAATGTTTGTTTTTGGGGTTAGATGCAGTTTAAATAACATTTACAGTTCATGTCCCTACCCAGCCTGTGACTGGACAGCAAAAGGAGAAGCAGTAGACTGATGAGGCCATCTCTCTGCTCTCTTTTCCGATAAGTATGTTTCTTGTTAGCACATGAGCATTGCAAACCACTGATTGGCACCTTGGACTTATTTCTATTTCCTACTTCTCTTGCTATGTAAATAAAACTCACTTTATTAACTTGTTCCCAATCAGAGTACACACATACTGTAAGTGGGTCTGTATATGTGGGACCTCATATACGTGTACCTGTGTTTGTGGTGGGAGCGTGCTGCATAGCATAGAACTCTCCCAAGGCGGAGACTGAACTGTCACCAACAATCCTGGCTCTCCTGCTAATGATCAGGATATGGGAGGACTGCCACTCAATCACATGCTATGCAGCCCACCCCTGTACTATAGTGCGTCTTTGGTAGGATTTAAAAACAAATCTCAAAAGTGATCTGCAGTGGATCACTTTTCAGAAGGGAGTTAAGTATTGTCTTCCATGCATTCAAGAAGTGATCCTGCCATTTTCTTCTTAAATTTTTTCCTTACCAAAAGGTGATTAAAATGGAACTAAAATTTCTGCACCATGGGCATGGCCCCATTGACTTGAATTGGTGAGTTTAACAGATCCCTGTCACCTGTCAAGTCAACAAGATACAATACATTGGTAGCGGTGGTGATTTAAAGCATCAAAGCCATGGCATGTATATAGTCTCGCTTTATGTTAGCTTTTAGATAGGTAGTCAGGGGGCGGTAAAACCGCAGTTTAACTGTCTTTTTTCACCACCCCCCTGGCCGTCCATGTGAAAGAGCCCCTATTTTGCCAACTGTCTCCTCATTGCTTTGCTACAGCTCTCTGATAGACCTGAATTTATAAGTATAGTGTGCACAGTGTCCTCTCACAATGGCACTTGCTACATTGTCTCCTCTTGTCAGTAGTTTGTACATGGTCACCTATTGTCAGTAGTTGGTATACGGTAACATATTACCAGTACTTGGTACATGGTCACCTATTGTCATT